GGAGATTAATGCGAAGTCGTGGTAAGTGGTATGTGTGGACTTCCAATGCCACGGATAACTTATATTCTCGGCCATATTATCAATAGTCTAGACCTCAAGGATAGATACGAGCAAATACCTCCGGAGGAAGCTTGTCAAGGGTTCTCGGTATTCAACGTTCCAGAAAATAGTGGCGAGTGACACTCGACCGCGTGATGGGACCGGAAATGTCACCACATGCCTTTGCGTACCAGGATGATATCACGGTAATTGTGTACACCCTTGATGAACACAAAAGAAATCTTAGAGCGTTTCGTGCATACAGAATAAAATCAGAATATGTTCACCTTTTTAAGAAAGAACAGCTTATCGTGACACCAAATATTCTGCTGACGACTTCGTAAACTCTTTGACGACCGGGAAACAAGCTTCATAATCGAGTCATCTCTCGAGTCCCGAAACTGAACCTCTCGCGGAAGAGCCCTCGCAGACTCCGTTCACAGTTCAAATGTCCAGGTCCTTGATAGCCAAGGAACACAAACACCCATTGACTTAGCTATCCATAGAGGGATTCAGTATGAGTGATTATTTATTCTTGGGCTGAACTCTTATCACATTCCATTGATCATAAAATTAAAAGTTGCATTAAGGACGCTGTTCAGCTGTTTGCAAGGAACATCTACAGTATATTGCTGCAGAGTCCCCACCGTGTGAACCCAACCCTGGCTCTTTTAGAACCTGAGGACTTGGTGAGGTTGAAAAGATCCTTACGTCGCAGGTATATGAGATCCCATGATTCAGTCGAGAAACGCGCTTATTGTCGTGCTGAAGATAATCTGACGAAGCTTCTGTTTTACACCAAACGCGAATATTTTGATAAGATGCTTCGCGACGGTGACTCCGCCAAACCGAACGGCTTCAATCTCTGCGCAAAATCCTCATACAGAAAGCCAACAATATATGGTGCAGGTTGTCTCTTTAGCTTTTGAGGACGATCTAGAGAAACGCTTTTAGACATTTCAACACTTCCATCGAATCGGTGGAAGAAACACTGTCCTTCTTATATAATCCTTCCCCAGCACGCAAGGCAAGAAGAAGTTCGCATGATTATTTAAACGTAACATAGGAAATCGACGGCCTTGACAGTAGAATTGTCAAAGCTTTGCCTATAAAGTCAAAACTGTTCCTTGTTCTCTTTTTTGAGAACAAAATTTAAATGCTCCATCCAATGAATCCATCACTTCCCCTCTCAATGAATGTATGCTGTAATAACGATGATACCAAAAAAAGGAAAATCGGAGATCATATGCACTGTAACGAACTATTTCTCTTGGTTCTGCTCGCTACGAATTGCAACGGCTAGTTCATAGAGTTTGTTTGTTCGAGGAGTTGTTTGTTTGTTTGTATTAGGAGTTTACTTTTCAATTCTTCAAGCTTATGAATATATTGCTGATTCAGTTTATGGATCAACTTTTTATATAGCTACAGGATTTCATGGAATTCATGTACTAATCGGAACAACTTTTTTATTAATTTGTTTACTTCGTCATTTAAATAATCATTTTTCAAAAAATCACCATTTTGGTTTTGAAGCAGCTGCATGATATTGACATTTTGTTGATGTAGTTTGATTATTTTTATATATAACGATTTATTGATGAGGAGGTTAATTTATTATTAATAAATAAATAATTATCTATATAGTATAAAAGTATATTTCATGTCTATTAATAAATAGTATACATAATTAATTAAACTAATAGAAATTAAATAAATAAATCTAATTCTACAAATTGATAAATATTTCACGATCTAAAATGAATAATTTCATATCACTAACACCACAAATTAGTATTTTTTTTAAACTATTTAAATATAATCATAATATACACGACTCTCTTTTTAAAATCAATAAATTTAAAGGTAACCAATGTAATAATATTAACAAATATTCACGAATTTTACCTCTTCTAAAAGAATATGCCCCAGAAAATAATTTTCCATGTTGTCTAAAAGAATATAAATATAAAGTATACGCTGCTCTAAAAAAAAGATAATATAATTATGGAAATTCAAGATCAAGAAACAATTCTATTTAATTAAGAATTTTATCATATTGAATTTAATGTTGTAGAAGCTGCTATATTAGCTGATCTTAATAAAAATCATCATAAAGTTATAGCAGGTATAAAATTTAATAAACCTTTATTAATTAATATTCTTCGTCTTCCTAACCGTTCATAAGAAATATTAGCTAAACAAAATAATCCGGAAGAACATAATCCATGAGCAATTATTAAAGTATAAGAACCACATAACCCTCAATAAGTTATTGTTAATAAACCAGATAAAACAATACCTATATGAGCAACCGATGAATAAGCAATTAAAGCTTTTAAATCAGTTTGACGTAAACAAACTAATCTAACTAATACACCTCCTACTAATCTAATTCTAATTCAAACAAATCTATATTTCAAATTTATAGATTGTAAAAAAAAAAGAACTCGTAATAAACCATACCCTCCTAATTTTAATATAATACCAGCTAAAATTATAGACCCTGAAACTGGAGCTTCAACATGAGCCTTAGGTAATCATAAATGAACTAAAAATATAGGTATTTTTACTAAAAATGCTCTTAATAAACAAAAATATAGTAAATCATAATTAAATATAAAATTATTTATTAAATAAAAATTTATTGACCCTGTTTGATTTATTAAATAAAAAATACCAATTAATATAGGTAAAGAAACTAATAAAGTATAAAATAATAAATAAACACCAGCTTGCAATCGCTCAGGTTGATACCCTCATCCTAAAATTAAAAATAGAGTAGGAATTAATCTTCTTTCAAAAAATAAATAAAATATAAACAAACTTATTCTAGAAAAAGTTAAAATTAATAATAATAATAAAATATATTATATATTATAAATATATAAAATAAATTCTGATCAATAATTTATAAAATTATTTATTAATAAAAAAATAAATCTAATAAAAAATAATATAATCTGCACCATTCAATATATATTATTAATAAAACAAATAGGACTTAAAAATAATAAAAAAAAAATAATTTTTAACATTATATAATTCTAAAAGATTGAAAATAATCATTACCATGAGTACGAATTATAGAAACTAAAATTGATAAACCTAAAGCTCCTTCACATACTCTAAAAGTTAAAAATATTATTCTAAAATAATTTTCATAATTTAATATATTTAAATAAATAAATAATATAAAAAATAAAATTAAAACAATAAATTCTAAACTTAAAAGTATTGAAAGTAAATGTTTTCGATTAGAAACAAAACAAAATAAACCTAAAATAAATAAAATTATAGGTAAACTTCAATATAAAATTATAATCATTAGTTTTAATAGTTTAATAAAAACATTGGTCTTGTAAATCAAAAATAAGATTATTTCTTTTAAAACTTCAAGAGAAAAGAATTTTCTTTTTCATTAATCCCCAAAATTAATATTTTAAATAAACTACCTCTTGAAATTATTCAATTAATACTTTATTCATTAATTATTACTACTTCTTTTATTTTTTTAAATATAGTTCATCCATTAGCATTAGGGCTAACCTTATTAATTCAAACAATTTTTGTATGCTTAATTTCAGGATTAATAACTAAAAGTTTTTGATATTCTTATATTTTATTTTTAATTTCTTTATGAGGTTTTATTTATTTAGTTTTATTTATGAAATCTAACGAAATATTTAATTTATCAATTAAATTAATTTTATTTTCATTATTTATTATACTATTTATGTTAATTTTATCATTTATTATTGATAAAACTTCTATTTCATTATTTTTAATAAATAATGAAATAGAATCTATTATAAATATAAATTCTTATTTTACAGAAAATTCTTTATCGTTAAATAAATTATATAATTTCCCAACAAATTTTGTAACAATTTTATTAATAAATTATTTACTAATCACTTTAATTGTAGTAGTGAAAATTACTAAATTATTTAAAGGACCTATTCGAATAATATCATAATTTATGTTTAAACCTTTACGAAATTCCCACCCTTTATTTAAAATTGCTAATAATGCTTTAGTTGATTTACCAGCTCCTATTAATATTTCAAGATGATGAAATTTTGGATCATTATTAGGACTTTGTTTAATTATTCAAAATTGCCTATGTATTGCCTTGGAGACATTTTGAGGAGCTACTGTAATTACTAATTTACTATCAGCTATCCCTTATTTAGGTATAGATTTAGTTCAATGGTTATGGGGAGGATTCGCTGTTGATAACGCTACTCTAACTCGATTTTTTACATTCCATTTTATTTTACCTTTTATTGTTTTAGCTATAACAATAATTCATTTATTATTTCTTCACCAAACAGGATCTAATAATCCTATTGGATTAAATTCTAATATTGATAAAATTCCTTTTCACCCATATTTTACATTTAAAGATATTGTAGGATTTATTATTATAATTTTCATTTTAATTTCATTAGTATTAATTAGACCAAATTTATTAGGAGCTCCTGATAATTTTATCCCAGCTAACCCTTTAGTAACACCAGCTCACATTCAACCAGAATGGTATTTTTTATTCGCATACGCTATTTTACGATCAATTCCTAATAAATTAGGAGGAGTTATCGCATTAGTTTTATCAATTGCAATTTTAATAATTTTACCTTTTTATAATTTAAGAAAATTTCGAGGAATCCAATTTTATCCTATTAACCAAATTTTATTTTGATCTATATTAGTAACAGTAATTTTATTAACCTGAATTGGAGCTCGACCTGTAGAAGAACCTTATGTACTAATTGGTCAAATTTTAACTATTATTTATTTTTTATACTACTTAATTAATCCTTTAATTACAAAATGATGAGATAAATTATTAAAATAATTATTAATAAGTTAATGAGCTTGAACAAGCATATGTTTTGAAAACATAAGATAGAATTTAATTTTCTATTAACTTTTATACTAAAAATAATTCATAATAAAAAAGAAAACAACAAAATTTTAAACCCAATAAAAAATAATAAATAATTTAAAGAAAATGATAAAAAACATTTTCAAGCTAAATATATTAATTTATCATAACGAAATCGAGGCAAAGTTCCCCGAGCTCAAATAAATAAAAATGAAATAAAAGTTAATTTTACATAAAATATTAAATTAAATACATCACATCCTAAAAAAATTACACAAAATAACATTCTTATAAATAAAATTCTAGCGTATTCTGCTATAAAAATTAAAGCAAATCCTCCTCTTCTATATTCTACATTAAATCCAGAAACCAATTCTGATTCTCCTTCAGCAAAATCAAAAGGTGTTCGATTAGTTTCAGCTAACGAAATTGTTAATCAAACCAACCCTATAGGAAATAAAATAATTAAAAATCATATATAAATTTGATAATAAAAAAAATAAATTATATTATATCTACCAATTAAAAAAATAAAAGATAATATAATTAAAGCTAATCTTACTTCATAAGAAATAGTTTGAGCTACAGCTCGTAAACCTCCTAATAGCAAAATTAATCCTAAACTTGTACAACATAAAAAAAACAACCCCCCTAAATTAAATGAGTATAATTTTACAAAAAACGGCATACATATTCAAACAAAAAAATAATAAAACTTTACGTTCTAATAAAGTTAAAAAAGCTACACTTACTAAGACACAAACAATTAATAATAAACTTCTGATTAATGATAAAATAAATTCTATATAAAACAAGTACTATTTGTAATAAAAATCACATAAATAAATTCTAAATTTATTGCACTAATCTGCCAAAATAGTTTATATATTAATAATATTCATATGTAAAAATATAATTATTTTAATATTTGGTCCTTTCGTACTAAAATATTATAATTTTTTAAAGATAGAAACCAACCTGGCTTACACCGGTTTGAACTCAGATCATGTAAGAATTTAAAAGTCGAACAGACTTAAAATTTGAACGGCTACAACCTCTGGTAAAGGAAAAAAGAAACATAGATAATCTCCGGGCTTCGACGGCCTTGACAGTAGAATTGCCAAGGCTTCGCCTAAGAAGTGAAAACTGTTCCTTGTTCTCTTATTTACCACAATGCTCCATCCAATGAATCCATCACCTTCCCTCTCAATGAATGTATGCTGTATTAACGATGATACCAAAAAAAGGAAAATCGGAGCCAATCATATGCATTGTAAAGAACTATTTTTCTTGGTTCTGCTTGCTACGAATTGCAACGGCTAGTTCATAGAGTTTGTTTGTTCGCCCAACCAAATTTATGTTTTGTGTGATTGCCCGACCAAGTAGAAAACAGGGTTTCAGATTAAGTTAGCTATATTGTTAGACCACTCCTTCATCGTCCTGCGGCGTGCTTGACAGCGGTCCCCGATCCGGCTCGGATGAGATCTAGGATGTTATGGTGGCGGGGCCGCAAAGTGTGTCGTCCCTTATTCACTGCGTCCCTCTTGCTTTGCACTGTCCCTCTTTGTGCACACCGTTGCCCTTCGCTGACTCGAGTCCAAGGTCCAGCGCCGTACCGTAGCAGCGTCTTTCTGCTTAGTTGGGGTCCGGGGTCCATTATTTCCCGTTTGACCTGGCTGCCCTTGACCTTCTCCTGCGTTTAAGCCTTCTTCGCTGTTGCTAGGCAGCTCTTCTGCACCTCGATTTGTATGGAATTTTAAGACTCCTCACATCTTCCGCTTCCTATAGAAGTTTTAAAATAGTGGTGTTTTCTCGGCGATCCTCCACCTGGGGGTTCCTCCTGGCTATCTCTCATAGTTAGCTCCTCGTCGACACTGCGCTCTTTGTTCTCAGGCTGGCAGTATCAGCAAATTAGACCCCGTCGATCAGCATGTCGACTTGGCATCTCGAACTTCCTTGCGCCCGTTTTTAGATTCCATTCATCTCAGCCTTGCTCTCTCAGCCTAGTAGACCCTGTCGTTTAGTGTCTTGAAGTAACATCTCAATCCTACCGCTCTTTTTCTGCCTCCCATCTTCTCTTGCCGTCTGCTCTTCGTCACCAGCTCTGTATTTAAACTTGCCCCCTTCCTTTGAAGTTCACCACCTTTGTTTCTGGCAACTCCACCGAAACTCAACACGATCGTTTTATCGATATAGGCGGCCGCTTCCGTGTCGTATCGTTGTTCCAAGCGTTTGCCATTTCGAATCGGTTGCTTACCATAGTGTGACCGCGTGTTGTAAGCTTCATGTGTATCCAGTAGTTTTTCCTATTGATCGACCGCCGCTATCTCAGCGCCTTCATCCCGATTTCCTCCACATGTGGTTCCGGTGTTGCAGCTTGATGAAGGTATTGTAACGAACTGCTTTTCCTTAGTTTTGCTCGCTACGAATTGCAACGGCTAGCTCAGAGAGTTCATGTGTTCGTCCCACCAAATTTATGAATTGTGTTATTGCCCGACCAAAGAGATGACAGAGTTTAGGTTATAACAGCTTTATTGCAAACTTCTTTAATGACAGATTCCTGGTTATCGCCGTCGGCTGCGCGGTGTCGCTCTCTCGTTGTCCTTCCTTTGCTTCACGACCGTGTCGGCTCGACTGGGGCTTAGGATGTTATGGTGGGAAGGTGTATCGTCCGTGAGTCCGGACCACCTTGACCGACCAATGACTCCACTGACCCTTCTGATCGCGCCTTGTTTCCACTCTCAGGGACCGTCCTCCTGCGCCGCTCGCGTTCTCATTGCAAATTCACTTGCCCCGGGGCACAGCTCCTTGCGAACTCTGGCGTATTCTCCCTGACTGATTGATTAACCGCTTTCACATATGACTTCCGCGTGTTTAGCTGACAAGCCGCCCGATTATCCTCTTGCACGTATGACTTCCGCGTGTTTAGCTGACTGTCCCGAGCTGCGTCTGCGCAGTTCCTTTTATAGGCCGCGGAAATCCTGTTATTTCCCCCTTTTGCGCACGGCCGCTTGGGTACAAGGTCCGACCCAGGTCCCGTTAGTTCACGGTGCTTCCTTTTTGTGTTTGTCCAAAGTCCGCACCGTTACCGTTCGACCTCTGTACCGTTGGCCGGCTTGAGTCCAAGGTCCAGCGCGGTACCGTTAGTTCGCGGTCGCTCCGCTTTACTCGGGTCCAAGGTCCATTATTTCCCGTTTGGCCTGGTTGCCCTTGACTCCTTCTATATTCCAGCCTTCTCCGCTGTTGCTAGGCAGCTCTCCTGCACCTCGATTTATTTTAAGACTCCTCACATCTCCCTCTTCCTTCGGAAGTTTTGAAAAGATGGAGCCTCCGGCAGTCCTCCGCTTCGGTGTCTCCTCGCATAGGCAGTTTCCTCGTCTCTCCTCTCGTCGACCCTGCGCCTTTTGTTCTCAGCCTGGCAGTCTCAGCCTAGTAGACCCCGTCGTTTAGCGTCTTGACTTTGCATCTCGAACCTCCTCGCGCCCTTCTCCAGCCTCCTTCCGTTGTCCTGTATCTTCCTGATCTCAGCCTTGGCGTCTCAGCCTAGTAGACCCTGTCCTTAAGCGTCTTGACGTGGCATCTTGATTCTCCATATAGGTCCTGGCTCCTCTTGTCGACCTGCGCTTCCTTAATCTCAGCCCGGCAGTCTCAGCCTGGTAGACCCCGTCGTTCAGCATCTTGACTCGGCATCTTGATCCTCGCGCCCTTCTCCAGCTTCCTTCATCTGCTGCCGTCTGCTCCTCGTCACTAGCTCTGTACTTAAACTTCCCGCCTCCTTTTGAATTCCGCACCCTTTCGTATCCGGCAACTCCACCGAACCTCACCACGATCGATTATTGAGTTATCGATATTGGTGGCCGGCGTTGCTACTTCCTTTTTACGTCGATATTCCGGGGTTGCCATGTTGTGCCGATTGTTGCCAATTGTGTGGCCGCGTGTCGAAAATCTATGTGTATCGAGTATTTTTGTTCCCTATCAATCGACCACCGCTATCGCAGCGCCCCCATCCCGATTTTCTCAACATGTGCTTTCGGTGTTGCAGCTCAATGGAGGTATGTATTACGGTTTTATGTGTAAATTTTCCGCCATCTTTACCAATCCTCTCCTTCGATTGCAGCTCCACCGTCATGGATGCCCCTTCATGCTCCGGGGTGGCTGGCCCTGGACCCAAGAGGCCCCGGAAGCCAACTTGCGGCAGTAAGAGCCCCACCTCGTTCTCACGCCCTCGGCAGCCTCGCGTCGTCTTGCCGGCCCGCGTCACTTCCCCTCGCGCTCATCCATGGCACCTGAACTTTTTGTTTTTGTGTAATGCAGTGCCACCCTTATCCTTCCCTGACCCAATCAATATACATTGATTATCGTGTATCGCCACTTTATTCGGCCCTCAAAACCTTAGCCTCCCCTCCCCCCCGCACCTTAAGGTGGTTGCGCTGGCCGTCGTGGACGAATAGCTTAGCCCAGCGGGCCTCGCGCCGCCTGTCTTTTGGCCTCCTCGGCACCTGGCGTGGCCACTCCTCCCTCGGTAACTCCCTCTACTCCTGTTCTGCCAGCGACACCTGCCTGCGGGGGCAGGGTAAATTTGTAGAACTACAGTAATAACAAAATATATTGAAAATGCCGGTTCGCACTGCAAAAATACTACGACCATAGAATGGCAACGTCGCACCAAAAGAAGAATATCAGAAAGCCAGATCGCAGACCAGATCGCAAACGAACGGAAATCACGGAATGCAAACAGATAATTGGTGGTGAAGAAAAGACGGTTTCACGGAAAAGATAACGGGCGGTAAATTTAAAAAAAAATGAAACCAGTGCTCTGAAAGGGGGAAAGGGGATGTGAGAAGCTTAAGCTCCGCACAAATGCATATGTCAACTGCGGAAGGATGGCCTGCCTGCGCGAGAAGGAGAGTTTGGGGAATGAGAGTTTTGAGAAACAGAGTATGTAGAAAAAGAGTTTGAAGAAACGGAGCCTGGAGATCGATTGGAGAATAAGAGTTTGGAAAATTAGAATTTCGAGAACGAGAGAGAGACGGCACGAGTTGGAGCAAGACAACAGAAGAGAGAGTGTCTGCGTGCCGATTTCAAAAAAGCAACGTTACCAAACTGGACTTTGGACCTGGAGACTGGAGAAGACCGAGCGCTGAAATACTAATAACGAACGTGAAGCCACGTAAATAGCACGGGAGCTACAGCCGTGAAAGTCAACAAGCAGCAAGATCTCTACGTCCGATCTCTACTGCAAAGTGTTCTTACTCGTAACTAGGTGATCACGATTAATATAAATTTTGTGAGACGAACACACAAAATCTTCTGAACTAGCCGCACGCAGTATAATTAGAAGTTGAATCTACCTCCTTAAGAATAACGCATATGTCGCACAGAGGTTGGGCATAACGCTGTCGAGATGATCAGAAGCCCGAGAAGGCCGAGCCAAAACTTGCAGAAATCTGGTCAGAATGGGAAGGAACATACCTCGACAGACCAGGGTTAAGTTGACGAACTCCAAAGACGAATACCTCATTGCAAATCTGAGCATGGAAATGCAGCAAGAGTGTCAGCGAAGAGAAGAACCCACTTTGCCAATCCTCAACAGGACAGAGGCAACTCTACATGAGCCTCCTGATACTACCAGGAGCAGTGGATGCGTTGGTGTTGGGGTGGAATTTCCTCACCCAAGTCGGGACCGAAATCAGATGCGTAAGTCACGAAATCCGTATACCGGTCAGGAACAGGCATAATGGGTGGCTCGAGAAAAGTTTTCGGTCGCGAAAAAGTCGGCGAAGAAGACAACGTGGGAAAATTCCTGGAAACAGAGTTC